TTCAATCCTGAAAGATCCCACCCACCCCCAGCACGGACTGTTCACCTTCCTACCCTCTGGCCGTAGGTTCAGAAGTGTGAAGTGTAGGACCACTAGACTGAAAAACTCTTTCTTTCCCTCTGCTATCAGACTCCCAAACAGCTGAGGAGTTTATTACGAGGAAATATGTGATGTACTGTTTACATTCTGATTGCACATGCATAATTGCACAATGACTGTTGACTGCTGCACATGCTGCTCCCATGCAACATACATTCTCTGTTATATTCTTGTAAATATTTTTTTCTACTTTTCTGCTGCATCTGGACTGCTTAATGTGCCTTAGATTTTGTTATTTATTTATCTACTTTATATTTCATTTGTATTTGGTGGCATTCATGTGGACGGCAAAGTAAGAATTTCATTGTACAGGGAAACACGTTTCCTAACTGTGCATATGACAAAATAAACACTTTGAACTTTGAACTTATAAGGAACTGGCAGCAGCCAGTGCGGGATATATCTCAGACTTCCTAGCGCCTTTTAGTTTAGCAAACATCAAATTTTGTGTATTTTTGAAAGAAAAAAGTGTAGAATTTTTGGTCAACAGTTTTATCATTTTGGCAAAATATCATATTCATAAATGTAAATTGAGTATAAGGCGACTGTTTAGCAGCCTTTAGTTATGAAATACCCACAGTTAAGAAGTCCCTGGGTTGCATGAGTGGTAAAAGAGCCCAAAGTCTGTTATCTGCAATCAGTCAGTTTGATTTACTGTAACCTCCTGGTAAATATGTGTACTGTTTCTTTCATTTTATTTATTTATTTACATGCATTTATTTCATTTTATTCATTTGAGTTTATTTTGTTCAGATATTAATCTGTATGATTTGTTGCTCAGTCCCTTGTGGTTTCATTGTCTTGTAGGTCTGTAAATAAGACGCTCATTTAAAAAAAGTTTTTAAAAGTATGGGCTGGCTACAGCAAAGCAAAACACGCAGCCTTCAACATAATGAATTTCACAGAATGCACTGCGGTGTGACGTCACGACCCCAAACCCTATTATGTCGGCATAAATGTAACCTCGATAATAGCATCTAATTTGAGATGCTAATTCAGCATAAAAGATAACAGTAATCTCTCAAAGGTTTGAGGTAGTTAACGTTGTTTATTTATGATTTGATGTAGAGATTTTAAGGACAATATAATTGTTTATACTTTTTGAATATACATGTTGTTAGTCAAGTTAGCTGACAAACTGTTTACCTGTGCAGCCATATCGCCACTTCGCTAACATGACAAAAAATAAACAATTAAAACGTACATTTATTAATAGTAATGGGAAAGGCACATTCAACCAAAACATTAAATAAGAAGATATTTTATAAATGTGACGTTAAAGCTTCAGCCCTGTATAAGAATCCCCGTCGCCTCTGTGCCACGCCTTTTCTCTTCCTCTTCCTCTATCTTCATCATCAGCCTCCACCTGGAGTCCATCTCCCCGCACACCTCTCCTCCCCGCTTCCCCCCTTAGCTGCAGCTGCCCAGCGGCTGTTTGTCCTTCATCCAGACCGCTGTAGGACACCGCAGGGCGCTTAAGGGGCATCGCCAGCGGTGGCGGCGCTGATTTCTGGGGCTCTGGCAGCGTCGCCTCTCCCTCATGCTGCTGCTCGCCGCAAACCCACAGATGGATGTTCGGAAATATCCCCCGCAGTCCCTCTCCTCCACCGGCTGCTTCCCTTGATGCATAATTACAGCACCGAGAGAAGCTACTGAGAAAATAAGCTCCAGGAGCCGATTCATCCCAGTTTGGGCTGCAGAAAATGAGGGTGAGCGACAGAGGAGGGTTTCTCACCATGTTTCTTTCCTTGTATTTAATATGGACGCAGCTGCTGATCACAGGTAAGTCTCCGTTTTCTGTGTGCTTCCTCACACCACACATAGCAGTAGTGCTCAGATCGGGGGATTAACCCAATACTTGGTAAATGATTAGTTTTTTTTAGCCATTCATCCTGTAAAAATAACCAAAAATGCTGCGCCCAGGTCTTCAGATAGCAGCATATGCTTGTAAACTGAGCATGTGTGGTGCTTAACATTTTATAAGGAAATAAAATGAAGCTCAGACTTGTCATAGGAATTTATCAACTGCAGTTAGATATCACATGGTGTCTGTTATTGATGAATCTTTAATTGTTGTTGCAGCCATAAACCTATTGTTTTTGTAGCATACTGTACATTTAAATGTTCATAGTGGAAGCTGAGACATTCCAGAACAATATGATATAGACCATAATAATGTGATATAGATATATGGTTATGACATTAAAGGAAATTCTTCACCAACCTCTAGAGTATGTGCAGACCATGCCATAGGATGTACTGACTGGCTCACTGTTAAGTGTGTACTGAAAAACTGCAGATATGATGGAGATGTTATGAAGGAATTTAACCTAAAATAGCCTGCGATAGAACAAACCTACTGGAATCATTTAGTATAAATTCCAGATCCTGTTCCCAGAGGTCAAACAGTCCAGACACATGAAATGGATCCAGTGTAATGTGATATGAAACGGTAAATCCTCACACTGGAGCCAGATGGTGTTTTGTCTTTATTTAACTGGAGGAAAGGGTTGCATTACTGGTGTTGTTGGACTTCTGAGGTTTTAAAGCCAGCATTTTAATAGCAATGCTCAATTAACAGAAGGCACTTTCACATAACCTGGTTTTGAACGGATCTAAAACACCCATATAGCCCTTTTCAATATCTGATTATTTGAACTGCAGCAGAACAATATTTATAACTGTGCTCAGTGCAATGTCAGTGCTGTTTAATGCCAAGCTCATTGTATATGGAATAGATGTTGGGGATGGGAAGGAAACCAGTGGGGCTGCAGCTAATGGTTATTTTCATTATTCATTAATCTGCCTGCTTTTTTCTTGATTAATTGTCAAATAAATTTTGAGGATGCTCATCACATTTAGGGGAAATTTCCATATGAGATGAAATCAGAGTAAAGAACAAATGTGAAATGCAGGTGACAGATGTTTTCCCTCAATGAGGATGTGGACATTTATCTAGTAAGCCTGCTTCAGCTGTGCAGACTTTAGTGGTGTTCTGGTTTTCCTGTGTGAACACTCCAAACTGAACTTTGGTCAGAGTCAACCCACCCAGCTCATGTCTCCCTAAACTGGGAGCCTAACTGGCAACCAGCTGCAGTTTCTTTATTTACAGAGGTAACAACAAGCTTCCCATTCCTCTGGAGACAATTAGCCACTGGGTCAAAGCTATAAAACACAAACTATTACCAGTTACTTAAATACAGAGAATATAAATGAGTTTTCCTACTTGACTGCTTGCATTTATGGTTCTACTTGTTTCTGTTCTGGAACTGGAATATAATAATGAATGCTGATTCCATGAGAGGCACAAACTGGAGCTTCTCTAAACGACACTTTCATCGTCCTGAGTTGTAGCATCATCTGCCACTTGATGTCCCCACTCGTACCCACTCGTACTAGTTTATAGATGTTTATTCATGTAAATATCTTTAACTTTACATTTAGACAGTCATTTTCTAGTGTGTGTGTGTGTGTGTGTGTGTGTGTGTGTGTGTGTGTGTTAGAGCTGTCTCTCCAGACTCTCCAGAGTTATTGGATCAGCCTTCTTTAACCTGTGATTGGCTAACAGCTCCTTGCCAATCAGAACTCTGCTCAGCCGAGCAGCATAGCAACCAGGACGCTGTCGCTAGGGTGAGAGGAAGCCAGGGAGGCAGAGAGCGGCTGTGTCAGCTCGACTGATTCAGTCTTTTTACCTCCTTACACTGCTGTTTATTCCTGTTTTTTGTTTTACACAGGATAATATGATGCACACATTTACAGTGAGGAACAGAAGTATTTGAACACCCTGCGATTTTGCAAGTTCTCCCACTTAGAAATCATGGAGGGGCCTGAAATTCACATTGTAGGTGCATTCCCACTCTCAGAGACAGAATTAAAAAAAGAAAATCAGGAAATCACATTGTATGATTTTTAAAGAATTTATTTGTCTCCAGTACAGAGGCTCTCAGTGTGCTTTTAAGTCAACAAGAAAAACTGGATAATATGTGCATTTTAAAATAAAACTAGAGAAATGCATGTACCTGTCGAAAATGCGTGTGGATGCTAATAAAAGCTGAAAGCTTGTCCTGAAAATGCCTGAAATCAATTGCTGAAACAGCTGAAAGATGAGATGCAATAAAGTAGGAATGGCCTCGAAGAGCTGAACACTTTGATACCCGAATGGCTTTTCTAGCTGAAGGTATGCTGAACTTATTAAGATGTGAAAATAGTCCAATAGGACTGTTAGAAATTAACCCAATTCTTTTGTTGGAAGCACGAGAAGTGAAGACAGGAGAGGACTGTTTAAAATCAACAAAGTTTACTGAAAGTCTGATCACAGGTAGGTCTTACAGCGCTGGATTCAGAGAGACGGAGCTCCCGCAGGAAAAACCAGCTTCTGAATCCTGAATTAAGTTTTTACAACACATTTATCTTCTTAGGCTGCTCCACCCTGGACAGGGGTGCAACCTTCAATAGTTTGTGATCCTATTGGTCATTTGGTGTGAGTAGGTCAACCCCTGCCTGTGCTTGCTTGCTGATATGTGATCTAGACCAGGTGTGTGTCTGTGTGTTTGTGTGTGTCTCTCCGGCACCCTGATCTTGATCTCGAGGTGCACTGTTCCAGGAGTGGCCTGAGTTGCAAATTTTCAAAGTAAAGATAAATATTTCAAAGGTATGAGATTTAGAAAAATTCTGAAGAGAAGCATGAATGTACTTGGAGAGCGGAACATTTTGATACCTGAAAGTATGATGAAGTAGAATTTCCGCATTCATTTGAATGGGGCAAGATTTTCAAAATAAAGCTAAATATTTCAAAAGTATGAAGTTTAGAAAACATTTGAAGAAAAGCATGAATGTCCTTGAAGAGCTGAACATTTTGATACCTGAAAGTATGCTGAAGTAGAATTTCCCCATTCATTTGAATGGGGCAAGATTTTCAAAATAAAGCTAAATATTTCAAAAGTATGAAGTTTAGAAAACATTTGAAGAAAAGCATGAATGTCCTTGAAGAGCTGAACATTTTGATACCTGAAAGTATGCTGAAGTAGAATTTCCGCATTCATTTGAATGGGGCAAGATTTTCAAAATAAAGCTAAATATTTCAAAAGTATGAAGTTTAGAAAACATTTGAAGAAAAGCATGAATGTCCTTGAAGAGCTGAACATTTTGATACCTGAAAGTATGCTGAAGTAGAATTTCCCCATTCATTTGAATGGGGCAAGATTTTCAAAATAAAGCTAAATATTTCAAAAGTATGAAGTTTAGAAAACATTTGAAGAAAAGCATGAATGTCCTTGAAGAGCTGAACATTTTGATACCTGAAAGTATGCTGAAGTAGAATTTCCGCATTCATTTGAATGGGGCAAGATTTTCAAAATAAAGCTAAATATTTCAAAAGTATGAAGTTTAGAAAACATTTGAAGAAAAGTATGAATGTCCTTGCAGAGTTGAACATTGATAGCTGAAATACCTGAAAGTATGCTGAAGTAGAATTTCCCCATTCATTTGAATGGGGAATGATTTTCAAAATGAAGCTAAATATTTAAAAAATTTGAAGTTTAGAAAACTTCGGAAGAGAAGCATGAATGTCCTTGAAGAGTTGAACATTTTAACAGCTGAAAGTATTCTGAGCTAGAATTTCCCCATTCATTTGAATGGTGCAGAACTTTCACAATAAAGCTACATATTGAAGAAGTATGGAGTTTAGAAAGGTTCTGAATAGAAGCATGAATGTCCTTGAAGAGCTGAA